GAGCCTTATTCCCGGCCGCAAGCCCGGGAGCGCTCAGTCTACCGAGGGAGCTGCGCGCGGAAGGCAGCTGGCTATACTTACTGAGGCTCAAGGGCTCGGGCGGACGGACAGACAGAGTGAATACAGAGACGCCCAGCGGCCGCGAGCTCCGCTCAGATCCCAGCCAGGCTTGCACGCAGAGGCCGGCAGCAGAACGTGCCCGGCAGGATCTCCTGTGCTCCTCCCACCCGGCTCCCGTGCCAGCGCCCGGTGGCCGCCGCCTCCAAAGTGATTGCTGCCTCGCCGCCTCCGCCGAGTCCGGGACCATGAAGCTGCTGTCGTCGGTGGTGCTGAAGCTTCTTTTGGCTGCAGGTAAGAGGGCTGCCGGGGGTCGGGGGGGATGGGGACGCTCTGCAGGGGACACGGAGGAAGATCGCTGCAGCGCCCCCGGCGCGGGCCACTTGGTGGGGCCCGTGCTCCCTGGCAGGCGGGCGCCGGCAGCGGTACGTGGCGACGGGGGTCTGGGCGGCGGGTCTGAAGCGGCCTCGTCCCTCACCCGCAGTGCTCTCGGCGTTGGTGACCGGCGACAGCCTGGAGCGGCTTCGAAGAGGGCTGGCGGCTGGAACCAGCAATCTGGACTCCCCTACTCAATCTACGGACCAGCTGCTGCCCCCGGGAGGTGGCCGAGGCCGGGAAGTCCTGGACTTGGAAGAGACAGACCTGGACCTTTTCAGAGGTGGGTGTGAGGGATGCCCATCCTCGGACCCCGGTGGACAGTTGAAGAATAAGTGGATCTGGCATTTATGCCGATTGGACACACCTATGGTTTGGGGGTTTTCATGGAGGACCTCAAGGAAAAGCCGCTTGGCCTGACAAACTCACTGGGGGGTCCTAGAATGTAGATCCTGTTGTCTTTCTTGCCCAACGTAGTCTCACATGCCACGTTGCTGCCTTTCTGGATACTCTGAGGCAAATTGAAACAGGCAAGGTGTGTGGGGTTGGTACGTTCCTCTGAGGTAAGCTGGGTGATAGGAACAAGGAATGGTTGAGATGCTTTCCTTAGAGTTTCTATGAAAAAATGTGCACAACCCCTAATTCCCACATCAACTGACTATTATGTATAAAATAAGGTAACAGATGTGGAGATGCTAGGCACATACAAGGTGTGCAGTGTTAGTCTCCTCCATCCACCTGTCTCCAGGTTGGGGAAACAGGGGAACGAGGAGCACTTGGTTCCCCCTCAGGTTAGGCCAGCACCTCCTCGGAAGGCTGTGAATGGTGAGCACTGGGTCCCTAGAGAGCTGTATTGATATGCTGGGTGTCTACAAATCCTACACAAGCCTGGATACTTCCTGACCACCCTGAGTCCCTGAGAGAGACTCCAAGGGAGGAAGGGCCAAATGGGATCCTTCAACCAGCAGGGTGCTGTGGCTAAGTAAATACAAGCACAGAGCAGAGTCCAGAGCCTCCAGTATTGCCTGCTTCCTTGCCCCCAGTCACCTGCAGAGATTCTTAAGGGTGGAGCAGGGACTGAGCCCTGGAGCCCCGGAATGACTATATTTGGTTGGAAAGATACCCACCTGTTCTGGCTCTGTCTGCTCCTCTGCCACCCTTCTTCCTTACCCAGAGTTTCCCTTAGGTGCTATCTCTATTTAGTATACATCAGGGGTCTGCCCCAAAGCTGAGGCTGGGTTCCCACCTTCCATCCTCTCACAGTGGCCCTCTGGGGGTCACTCCTGGCCTGAACAACCTGTATTCTCCCAGCCCTCTCCTCATAGGCAGGGCAGAGCTGGGCTGTGACTCACCCTCCACCCACACAGCTGCTCCTCCTAGCTCTGCAGACCTGACTCACTGCTCCCTCTCCCCGGCAGGAGCCTGGCTGTCACCCTGTCACTCTCTCCCTCCCTTTTCTTTTTTTTTTAAATTTATTTATTTATTTATTTATTTATTCTTGGCTGTGCTGGGTCTTCGTTGCTGCGTGCGGGCTTTCTCTAGTTGCAGAGAGCGGGAGCTACTCTTCGTTGTGGTGCACAGGCTTCTCATTGTGGTGGCTTCTCTTGTTGCAGAGCACGGGCTTTAGGCGTGTGGGCTTCAATAGTTGGGGCACACGGGCTCAGTAGTTGTGGCTCGTGGGCTCTAGAGTGCAGGCTCAGTAGTTGTGGCGCACGGGCTTAGTTGCTCCACGGCATGTGGGATCTTCCTGGACCAGGGCTCGAACCCGTGTCCCCTGCATTGGCAGGCGGATTCTTAACCACTGCGCCACCAGGGAAGTCCCTCTCCCTCCTTTTTCTGATCGGCTGGGCCCTCCTGCCTCAATTTCACCACAGCCATGGTCATTGGTTTCCTCTGAGCATCTGCCTCACCTTCTGAGTTCTGAAAGGGCCTGGGTCTGCACCAGAGGAAACAAGAGTCTATGGGACTACTACTGGCATCTGCCTCTTCTTTTTACTTGGGTTTGCTGGGCAAAGACTATTTTTCAGGTCTAGGGATCCTATCACCTAAAATAAATAACTGTTACCATTTATTAAGTGCCTCCTGTATTCTAGGCACTTAACATGTTATTGTGGGTTAATTAATCCTTGCTGCAACCCTCTGAGATAGGAACACCTGTTCTCCACTTTTTACCAAGAGCTACAGGGTTCAGAGAGATTAAGTGACTTGCCCAAGATCACATGGCTGAAATGCGAGCATGGGTCTGCTAACTTCAGAGCCCATTCATTGTCTCATTCCTGGCTCAGCATCCCATGTGCTCTAGGCTTGTCTGGAAGAGGGGACTGGGTTGTGTGAGGCAGCTTGGTGTGCTGGGAAAGAGCACTGGATATGGAGTCCAGAGACCACATTTCAGATCCCAAACCTGTAGGACCTTGGGCAAGTCACTGCCTTTCGGGACCTCAAGTTTTTCAACAGAAAATGGAAAGCCATATTTTTTGAGGTCAATTCCACCTTGAGGATCCTAGGACTCCAGTCTAATGTATGACGCTCATCCTTCTACCAGACATGTGGCTATAGCCATAGACAGCAGGCACCTTTTTTCTGCTGGGACAGGGGAGGGGAGACTTGTGTCAGACCCCTGGGCTGATGGGCATAGCCCATGATCAGTCCCAGCTGGATGTCTGTGTGAGGTTGTTTTTCCCTTTTTAAGTGTGGAAAGAATGGGGAGAGTTATCATTGTTCTAGTTCCTTCTGATAGTTCTTTACTTTCCATCTTTCTGCTTCTTGTGCACTGTACTCCCCATCCTAGGGAGCTATAAACAGGACATCTGGGGATATATGTAAATGGACCTTTGAGAGAAGTGGTGAGCTGCAAATAGCACACAGAGCAGGGTAAATATTTTGCTTGATGTCAAAAAAGCAAGGCTCTTTGAAATTAGCACACTATTGTAAATCAACTATAGATCAATAAAAATATTTTTAAAATTAAAAAAATTTAAAAAGTTAAAACAGCAAATCTCTGACCAGGGGTGGCCTGCTTGCTGTCCCTGAGCCTGGTTCTGCTCTGGGCTCATGGTCCGCTGCTGCTAATGGGTACCCCAGAGGGGACCACCTGGACATGGGCACTGTTCTTATTTTAGGAGCCTCTTCCCTCTAAAATACTCTCCAAGTACCTTCTCCAGAAGCAATTTTTATCTCTGACGCTGTCTTCCTGCAAATGGGTCACTGAGTGTAGCATCAGGAAATGAGGCTGATTTAAGGCCAAAATAGAACCAAGTGGGCGTGGGGGAGTAGGAGATGAGGATGGACAGTGGGGTGGGGGTGAGGTTAGTAGAACTGCCCAATCAGCTCCAGTTACTCAACAGAAGCTACTCAACAGAAGCCAGCATTCTTAGAATGAGGTCCTTTTTTTTTAGTGTCACTTGGACCCAGTAGTCTTTTTTTTTTTTTTCTTTTTTAAACATCTTTATTGGGGTATAATTGCTTTACAATGGTGTGTTAGTTTCTGCTGTATAACAAAGTGAATCAGCTACACATATACATACATCCCCTTGTCCCCTCCCTCTTGCGTCTCCCTCCCTCCCACCCTCCCTATCCCACCCCTCTAGGTGGTCACAGAGCACTGAGCTGATCTCCCTGTGCTATGCGGCTGCTTCCCACTGGCTATCTGTTTTACGTTTGGTAGTGTATATATGTCCATGCCACTCTCTCACTTCGTCCCAGCTTACCCTTCCCCCTCCCCGTGTCCTCAAGTCCATAGAATGAGGTTCTTAAACTGAGTTTATGAAATGTCTTCCTTGGGACCCCCCAGCCTCTACTTCCTCCACCGCTTTTGGGAGGCCTGCCCAGTCTTCCTTCAGCTCTTGGGAGGCACTGAGCCGAGAGGCCTTCCCAGGCCTCTGACTTCAGGTAGGATCAAAACATCCTTCCAGACACTGTGCTGTTCTGATTTTTTCCCCCGAGGAAGTCAAAGACGTAACAGGGTACTTTTCTACCGCAGCTGCTTTCTCTTCCAAGCCACAAGCTCTGGCCACACCGAGCAAGGAGGAGCGTGGGAAAAGAAAGAAGAAAGGCAAGGGGTTAGGGAAGAAGAGAGACCCATGTCTTCGGAAATACAAGGACTTCTGCATCCATGGAGAATGCAAATATGTGAAGGAGCTCCGGGCTCCATCCTGCATGTAAGTGTCCCTTCCCCGGGGCTGACTGTTAACAGCTCACTCTTTGTCAGCCTGGTGGCTGTTCCTGGTTGTCACTGTTCCTTGAATTCATAAATCCACCCAGTTTCTTCTCAACCTCTGGGAGGAAGTTGGGAGGAGGGGAAATATTTTTAGTCAGCGGAAGGGGCTCCCCCCAGCATAGGATGCAATTTCCTGTGGCGTGGGTTTGTGACGCTCTTTCATCTTTGGGGGCATTTCCTGCTTGCTCAGAAATGAGCACACGCTAGGAGAGCTGACACCTGAAGGCAGGTTCTTCATTTCTGCCTCATGCCCTACTCCAGATGGGAGAAGCCAGTAGGAAACATGGCAGAGTGGGGCTCCTGGGTGGAGTGGAGCTCCCGTGGCCTTCTTTCCCAAGTCCTGCAGGTAGGTATGAGGTGCATTTGGATATGTGCTATGCAGGTATGTGTACTCAGACATATGTGCATATGAATGAACAAATGTGGGTTGATTCTAAGACATGGCAGGACTGTAGAGAAAGCAATCATTGTGGGAGCAGGGAGAAGCCCCTCCTCCCTTCTTCCTCACCCTGGCCAGGGCCAGGAGGTGGGGGACATGGTGGGTATTGACCTTTGGCTATGGGGGTGGGAGAACACTTCCTTTGTGTAAGATTAACGGAAAATGGAACCCAACTCAGTAGGCATCAGCCCCCGGTCAGGCAGCACCACCCCTTCCCTGGGCAGGGGTGTGGGTGGAGAGGCCATGGGTTCCCCAGCCACTCTGCTAGGCCAAGCCCAGCAAATGGCTGCCTTGGCAACCCCTCAGGGATGACGACACTGCCATGCTCTGTGGCAGGCATAATGTCGCCACTGTGCCTGAGACCAACACCCACATCAGGCTGTAAACATGCACTCTCGTCTGCTGGGCCTGAGTTTCTGTGGAGTGGCAACCTCTGTGACCTGGGAGGCTCTGGACAGAGTCAGGAGATTGCTGTGTGCACACCGCTTCCCAGCCTGTCAAGAAGGCTGGCTGCCTCGCATCTCTTCTGCTGTGATTGGTACAGATCCTTTGGTTTTTTTTTTTAAAGCTTCCTTATCCCATCTGATCTCATATAGCAGAGTTGCCCTGTATTTGGCAATTGTCAGACAGACCCATCACCCCCCTCCATGTCTACAGTCACTTGTGTGTCCTCGCCTTTCATATCCTTGTCAAGAGCTTGGTATTGGAGAGGGTTGCTTAAGAGTGACCTAGACAGTGGGAGGGAGACGCAAGAGGGAGGAAGTATGCGGATATATGTATACGTATAGCTGATTCCCTTTGTTATACAGCAGAAACTAACAAAATATTGTAAAGCAATTACACTCCAATAAAGATGTTAAAAAAAAAAAAAGAGTGACCTAGACAGTCCCCCAATTATTCTTCCAGAAGTCTTGAGACAGGGCAGGGAATGTTTGTCCTAAATTTGTAAACTGGCCTCATTAGCACAGGGTGGAGGCAGTGACTCTGAGCGTAGTCAAGATGGATCAAGGCCAGAAACCTGTCTGGGCCGAACTGGTCCAGGGCGTTGGTGGACGGACTTCCACTGCTCAGCTGAGAACTCTTTTAAGGCTTCTCTCCTGGAGAGCTGAGCTTGACTGACCACCTAAACCCAGAGAACCTAGATAATGGTGTCCAGGGTCAAGGTGGCCCTAGGGATGGTGATGGTAACTGTGACAGTGCCTTCCTTCCTTTGCCATGGAGCTTTACAGTTTACATTTAATATGAGTTGAGCCCAACAGGTCTCTGTTGAGCACCTACTTGGTGTCAGCTATTCTAGGGGACGGGAAAATACAGCCCTGTATTCTCAAAAGTCCTCTGCTGGGTAGGCAGGGCTTGCTGTCTGTACTTGAAAGATGAGGAAACTGGAGCCCTGAAGTAGGAAGTGATTTGTCTGAGATCAGCAGCTAAATAAAGTGTGTGGAAACAGGACAGGCACTCAGGTGCCTGACTTCCCGTCCAACATGCTTTTCATGCCCCCAGGCTGCACTGGGTGTTGGATTGCGTCCTTCTTCCCTGTCTGTTCTTACAGAGTTGGAGCACGATTTTACAGAGGGCAGCTATTATACTAGAGGTCTCCTAAGGCTTTTTCTAATTGAAGAGCATGGAATCTGATGTGAAGACTCTGTGTCTGCTTCCTAGGCAGATTTTCAAGGGGCTGGATTCTGTGTCTGGCTTGGCAGCCTCCTGCCTCCAGCCCTTGGTACTCAGGGCAGCAGGCAGCAAGAACACACAGAGCTCCTGGTTTGGGAGAATGTGACATCTGGGCACCTACATCTGGGACGCTTTGTGGCTCCTTCTTGCCTCCAGACCCAGCAACCACCAGCCGGGTGTGTCAGGCTGCCGTGGTGAGCTTGAGGCTGGCCGGCTTCCTAAACCAGCCCTCTGCAGCCATCACCCACAGGAAAACCCTTTTGTGTCACCAGCCAAAAGTTGCCCTCAAAGAGCAGTTTCCTGAGGCTCCTGATGAGCTGCTGACCCAGAAACTGGCTGCAAAGTTTCCTGTGGCTGGAGGAAGCCTGGGGACAGTTAGCCTGATGAGGACTCAGAGCTGGAAGAGAGACAGGCCTGAAGGCTCTACTTGGCCTCACTGCCCAGATGCCAAGAAGGAATGGCGAGCCCCCTTCTCTTTGGCTCCGTCTGACTTTGGTGCTCCCTTCCTCAGGATATGGGCAGTATCCTCCGGAATCTGATTATATAGTAACTCCCACACATGTGGGACTTGGCCTTTTATTAAGTGCTTTTATTTGTATTATCTCATTTGAGCTTCACAAAGCTCTAGTGAGGTAGGCATTTATTATTCCTGCCTTTCACATGAGAAAACTGAAGCTTGGAAACGCGACCGTAACTTGCTCCAGATCACCTGGCTAGAAATAGCAGCAGGACCAGTCTGGAACTCATGTATTCTGAGTCCCCTGCGCCAAATGGTGCCCCCTCCACCTCCTGGGGTAGGGGTGGAGAAATCCAAACTGGAAGATGTCTCTGTACTCTAGAGGGTCCTTGCTTCTGTTGTAATACAAGTTCTGAAATGGGCCACAGACGTGGGTAGGAGCAACACATCGCAGTTTGATGGGTCACTGGCTCTGGGCAAGACACACGATCTTGCCCTCACCCTGGGATGCTTGGAATGCTCCTTCCCTGGGGGAGCCAGGAGTTGTCTGCAAAGGGAGGGGGACGTGGGTAATATTAGGATGTTTACATTATTATCCTTTTGACTCAGGGTGGGGGTGGAGAGATTATGTAACTGAATTGCGGGACTCTGAGGCCAAGCTTTATTTCTATCATCTGAGTAAGTACCTGTGGGGTTTGAATGATGGGCTGGAAGTGAAAAACAGACTCAACTTCACCTTCCCTCCCCGCAGGAAAGCACAGTCTCTGAAGTCAGCCAGACTGCTGAGTCAAATCCTGGTTCTACCACTCACTACCTGTGTAATCTTGGGCAGGTTATCTAACAGAAGTTTGGCCTCAGTCTCTTCATGTTTAAAATGGGGATAGTAACTCCTACTTCATAGAGATGTTTGTTTTTTTTTGTTTTTTTGCGGTACGCGGGCGTCTCACTGTTGTGGCCTCTCCTGTTGCGGAACACAGGCTCCGGACGTGCAGGCTCAGCGGCCACGGCCCACGGGCCCAGCCGCTCTGCGGCATGTGGGATCTTCCCAGACCAGGGCACGAACCCGCGTCCCCTGCATCGGCAGGCGGACTCTCAACCACTGCCCCACCAGGGAAGCCCATAGAGATGTTTTTAAGATTACATGAAATGATCCTTGTAAAGCAATTAGCACAGAGTACTTGGCTCATAGTAAGCCTGTAATGTGTGCTATTAATTGTTATTTATCATTCAAGATAACAGTAATAATAACTGAGAGAGCAGAGTCAGACCGCTCTCTGTTTCTGCTCCAGAAACCCATCAAGCCCATCAGATATGTGTTTCCTTGGGGTAACCTACACTGTTCAGAATGGAAAGAATTATGAATTTGGAATTTGGCCCTTCTGCTCCCTAGTTGTGAAACATTTAGCAAATCATTTACTCTCTCTGACCCTAATCGTAGTCTTTCAATATGTAAAAGAGGTTATACCTGCCTACCAGGGTGTTATGAGTCTCAGTTAAGCTAGTCGATAAGGACAGTGTCTTATAAAGTTCTTTGAACAAGTGATTTTCCAGGGGTGCTCCTAAGAGCATCCTCTGTGTCCTGACAGGATAGGGGTCATTATTTTGTCCACCTGGGCCGATGGGACAGATGCATGGAGAGGCTGGGCAAGGAGCTGTGTGCTCTGCTGTGGGCCTGACCTACATTTATCCTGCAGTGAGGTGGTTCCCCGAAACACCCAGAAGGAGCTGGGAAAGGAAGAGGTGCTGGGAAGGAAGACAGGGGCAGCCCGGCCCCTGGGTCTGATAGGTCTGCTCCTTGGAACTTTCCTGGTACCTCTCGGCAGGAAGAAGGGATTCCTTGCTCTGAGGAATGAGGTGCCTAACCTTTTCCCCAGAGGATGTGCAGTTCAGAATAGAGGGCCACCGGGTTCTCGGTGCTTCCTTCAGCAGTTAGTGGCCTAAAGTCCCCAGGCAGACAGTGCCACGGCATCCCTGACTGGGCATTTATAGATGTGTGTGGGCAGCACACTGAGCTCACCATCAGACAATCTGTGTCTATGTCTCTGCCCCGCTATGTGACTGTGGGGAAAATAGCTCTGCCTTTCTGTAACATGGGCTCCTACCTACATCAAAGGATCTCTGGGATGCTCAGATAAGGAAAGGGATGTGAGGGAATTCCCTGGCAGTCCAGTGGTTAGGGCCGCGCTTTCACTGCTTAGGGCCTGGGTTCAATCCCTGGTTGGGGAACTAAGATCCCACAAGCCAAGCCGCGCAGCTCCCCCGCAAAAAAAGAAAGGGATGTGAATGTGCTTTTTCAACTGTAGGCACTTCTCAATCTTCCCAAGGGCTTCCAGGAAAAGTTTTGTGTTAGAAGAGGCAGTTGCCATCTGATTTATTTCTTGAGTGAGAAAAGCCAAGGTTTTTTTTGTGACATTCTAAAATGTACTGGCAGGACAGCTAGGCAAGAAGATGTTTTCTTGGTTTGTTTGCTTTGTCCTGGGATGAAGTAGGCCTGATAGCCCAGCGTTCAGAGGCCAAAGGCCAAAATTCAGCTTTCAAGTTGGGCCTTGCACCCAGGGGGAGCTGGGAGTTAAATGAAGGAAACTTGAGAAAAATGACTTCTGGCAAAGGAGCAGGGCCTATTAATAGGCTGGGCAGTGGCAGAGGGACTGGACGCTGGAAATATTGGTGGGGAAGGCTGGGTTTATTTCTGGGTCAGAGTGTTGAGGGGCCTCACAAGAGGGAGTGATACTGAATCCCCTCAGTCCAACCCACCAGCTCTTGTGCCCAAGTCCTCCGAACATTTTAACACACATGTAATTAATCATCCACACGTGGAACAATCTAGCCAAGACCTGAAGTCCTCCTTTGCTTTTTCCCTGCCTGGAGTAGGAATTTTGTGCCAGAGACCAAAGGAAATGAAGAAGGGGAGGGCGTGGAGTGAAGGAGGAAGGCTACAGAGCCTTTAGAGGGGCTTCTAAAGAGTCTTGTACTATAGAAGGCTAGAGGAAGGACAGGAATCACAGTTAGGGACTGACAGGCTGAAGCTGTGAGGAGTGGGCTCTGGCTTATGTAGGTGGCCCGTTGCCAAGAGTGAAGCCAAACCACTAACTTCATCTCTGCTTTGTTCTGTTTTGGACCAGCTGCCACCTGGGTTACCATGGAGAGAGGTGCCATGGGCTGAGCCTCCCAGTGAAAAATCGTTTATATACCTATGATCACACGACCATCCTGGTTGTGGTGGTCGTGGTGCTGTCATCCGTCTGTCTGCTGGTCATCGTGGGGCTTCTCATGTTTTGGTGAGTGTTACAGGCTGTTTTTGCAAATCACTTCTATTCCTCCTCCTCCAGGATCTTCTACCTGATGGTCACATGAGCCCTCTAACCTCCCAAATCCTGGGCTAGGAGTCTGACTAACATTCCTGGGTACAGGCTCTCCAAGAACCTGGCTTCTCTGGTATGACATATGTCCAGTGTCTAGAGCCCAGGAAAAAAATTGCCAGGCCATAGGAGGTCCTGCTTCTCACAGCAGGCTCAGCAACCCACCCATGGAGCCACATCTTCACACAGTTCTTCTTCCTGACTCTGTTCTCTGATGGCATTAGGGTGTGGTTTGGTAGTCAGGGCATGGGTGGCGCTATTGGTATATCCTTCCAAATCTGGGGCATCTAGTCCCCAGGCCATGCTTTCAATCCAGCTTATATTCTAGACTGAGGAGACCTACTAAGCACTCTGTACCCATTTACAAGCGTGCAACTCATGTGTTGTGAGACCTGGATCAAGTTACCTGTCTTTCTAAGGGTTGTAATCTTTCAGTGATTGTAATCCCTGTTCCCCTACTTCATAAAGATGTTGTGAGGATTGTATAAATGAGGTGAAAGTTCTTAGCAAATTGTAGCCTGCCATTAGAGACAGGCATCCTTTGGGGCAGTTGGACCTTTGGCCAGAGGTCTGTTGAGCTGCTGTATCCTCTGGGCTTTTCCAAGTATGGAGAGAATCACTGGGCCAGAATCTTTTGCAAGGACCAGCTCTGGGGCCTGCACCCTGCTGTAGCAGGCAGAGCTTGCTCACAAAACTTACTTTCCTCAGGTACCACAGGAGAGGAGGTTATGACGTGGAAAATGAAGAGAAAGTGAAATTGGGTATGACTACGTCCCACTGAGAGAAACCTGTGCTCAAGGTAATGGTCCATCCTTTGCCCAATGGTACCATCACCACCTTTCCTGGATCTGTTTCTAGGCATGCTGAATTCTTCTCTTGACCTAGGAGTTAGGGGTTGGGCTTCTATGGAGTCAGGGTCCCACTGCAGAATTGTTTTCAAAAAGGTTCTCAGTGCTGCATCTCCACTTAGGGTGGAAGTTGCTAGAGAGATACCCAAGACCAGTGCCTGAGAAGACAGCTTCTCTCGTCCTTGTCTCTTCTCCTTCCCACCCCTTCCCAGAGATCTTTCCACTTCTTTTTTTTTTTTTTTTTTGCGGTACGCAGACCTCTCACCGTTGCGGCCCCTCCCGTTGCAGAGCACAGGCTCCGGAAGCGCAGGCTCAGCGGCCATGGCTCACGGGCCCAGCCGCTCCGCGGCATGCGGGATCCTCCCGGACCGGGGCACGAACCCGTGTCCCCTGCATTGGCAGGCGGACTCTCAACCACTGCGCCACCAGGGAAGCCCTCTTTCCACTTCTTAAAGCTGGACCCAGGAGACTCTTAAGACCTCTTAAGCTGGATCCAGCTTTAAATGCCTTCTTCTTGTGCTTAGGAATCAGCTGGGGACTGCTACCTCTGAGAAGATACAAGTTGATGACAGACTCTGCAGAGGGGAAGGACTTCACAACCAGCCATGAAGATTCCTTCATCCCCAGTTGCCATCTAAATTGGGCCTCCCATAACTGCTTTGCCAAAATACCAGAGCCTTCAAGTGCCAAACAGGATATGTCCATATGTCAGAAGAAAGCAAAAGTGAGGGACCTTCGTGCCCTTCTGATTCTCCTCCACCAAGCCCTACTTACCCCCATAAGTTTGTTTAAACACTTATCTTCTGGATTAAAATGCCAGTTAAATTCCATATGCTCCAGGATCTTTGCCTGAAAAAAAAGGAAGGAGAGGAAGAAAGAAAGATTCGGGGACTGGAAGAAAGTAACAAAGATTGAGAAGCCATGTGCTCAACAAGCCACCAAGGGATCTGCCATTTGGACCCTTCAGTGCTGAATTTGATGAGTTAACTGTGAAATACCATAAACCTGAGAACTCTGAATTTTGGGACTTCTACCCAGATGGAAAAATAACAACTATTTTTGTTTGTTTGTTTGTAAAATGCCTCTTAAATTATATATTTATTTTATTCTATGTATGTTAATTTATTTAGTTTTTAACAATCTAACAATAATATTTCAAGTGCCTAGACTGTTACTTTGGCAATTTCCTGGCCCTCCACCCTGCATCCCCCACCCTCTGGCTCAGCATTAGTCTCCCCTGCTGCAAATGTGAGATGGCTCTGTGATCCATCTGTAGTAATCTATTGTCTGTCCACATTTCGGAAGATCTTCCATGATCTGAGTGCCACAGGGGGAGTTCTGTATGGTCAGGCTGTAGGAATTAACTTTGTCAGATCCACTCTATGAGTTGGACGACAGTCTTGCCTAGGCGATTGTGTCTACCGTTTGTGTTTTGAAAGCCCAAGGTGCTGATGTCAAGATGTAACAGATATCGGTATTCCCCTGTGTCCTCTCCCTGCCCAGTCTCAGAAGAAGTTGGGCTTCCATGCCTGAAGCTTTCCTGGCCCCTCACCCTCCACGGGTCCAGGTCCACAGAGTGGGAACTCACTGTCCCTTGTGTCAAGACATTTCTCTTATCCTGCCATTCTTCTGGTGCTACTCCATGCAGGGGTCAATGCAGCAGAGGATAATCTAGAAAAGCTATTAGCAAAGAAAAAGGCTGAGGAGGAACAGGAAACATTGGAGCTGACTGTTCTTAGTAATTGATAACCTACCAATTGCTACAGAGAAGGTTGGAGGTGAGGAGGGCTTTTGTGTAAACCCACCCACCTCACCAAAACTACAAAGGTATGCTGTCGTGGTCCCTTCTGGAAGTTTCTGGTGCCATTACTGAACTGTTACAAACCTGAATTTCCAAACTTGGTTTATATTTATACTTTGCAATTCAAATAAAGATAACCCTTACTCCATAGCCTTCTGTCTGATTGTTTTAACTGGGAGCTAGTTTAACGTAGGTATTTTCTAAGCCCATAAATAGCCCAGGCCTATTTATATATACTATCTCAGTATCCCCAACAACCCTATGTAGGAGGTACTATTGTCCCATTTTTCCAGAATTGGAAACTGAGGCTTGGATAGGTTAGGTAACTTGCCCGAGGATACACAGTTGGTAAGTGAGAGAGCTGCAACTGGTAATCTGATTCTAATCATTTGTCTTAGTACTTATATCATACCATCTCTGAGACAGTAGAGAATAGGTCTTTCACATAGGAAGTTGGGCTGGCTGTAACCGGGAAAGACATCTGCCCATTCAGTGGGCAGACCCTGGCATCAGGGCCTATGCTGTCTGTGCAAGCAGGCATTGCTCCTGGAGGAAACAAGTCACCTTTGACTCCCCGCTCATGCTCCACATTCCATCTATCATCTATCAGCAAATCTTGTCAGACCTACCTTTTGGATACATGCTGAATGCAGCCACTTCTCATCACTGTCACTACCATCATCCCAGTCCAATTGACCATCAGCCAGGGACTGAAACTGCGCCCTTAGCTGTGAAAGCGCAGAGTCCTAACCGCAGGACCATCAGAGAATTCCCTCTTACCTAGACTCCTGTGGTGGCCTCCTGTCTCCTTTCTTCCACCTTACTCCCATATAGCCCATTTCCAACATAATAGCTGTGATCATTTAAAACATAATCCAGATCTTGCAGGCCTTCTCTGACTACCCTATTATACGATAGCACATTCCTCTCCCACCCGACTCCTCTTACTCTCATTATTCGGCTTTATTTTTCTTCATTGCCCTCATCACCACTAACATATTCTTATTTGTTTTTGTCTATCTCTTCCTACTAGAATGCTAGCTCCATGAGGATAGGGGTGTGTACATTGCTCCAGTCCCAGATTGTAAAAGAGTGCAATTGAGTTGTAGGCACACAATATTTGTTATGTGGATGAATGAATACAAGAAATGACTAAAATCCAATCCAAGGCCAGCAAGTGGACAGGTATGTGAGGCAGTGCTGCCCTGGAAGTGTGATTGGGTTTAAAGAAGGGCATTTGCTGGGGAGGATGGATGGGGATGACAGGATGAATGGAATTCGAGACAGGTCATGTTGTCCTGGACAGAGTGGAAGCAGAGACTTCCACCGGGAGGCCGTTAGACAAGTGCTACTGGATGCCCCGTCCGCATCCTCTTCTCTTTGAGAGTTGTGACATTGTGAAGTTTCTCCGGGAGCCCACAGAGAGATCTTACATGTACTTTGACTGTCCAAAGCTGAACATATGCATAGACTATAACCCAGCAATTCCACTTCCAGTGATATACACAAGAGAAATGAGTACATATGCTCACCAAAAGATATGTACAAGAGTGATCTTAGCATTATTTGCAATAAGTGAAAACTGGAAACTACCCCAATACTCGTCAGTATTTGATGATGAAATGAATAAATGCATTGTCGTATATCTATACCATGAAATATTACATAGCAATATGGATGAATCTCACAACATACTGCTGAGTCAAACAAGCCAGACACAAAAGGATACCTTCCGTGTGATCCCATTTATTTAAAATTTTAAAACAGGCAAAACTCATCTATGGGGAAAGAAATTAGGAAAGGAGTTACTATTGGGATTGATAATGACTGGAAGGGGAAAGATAAGGGAACTTCTGGTGTTCTGATAATGTTATATTCTAAGATTTAGGTACTGGCTTCCCATGTGCACCTCACTTTGAGAAAATTCATTGAGTATGATTTGTGCATTTTTCTACAGGTATTAAACTTCAATAAAAAGATTCTTAAAAACTTTGGTAGGGGACTCTTTTGCTGTTTGCATTATATAAAGCTCTGTAAAGTACCAATGTATTACTTCGGTAGTCAGAGAAAATGGTACAGAAATAACTCTGGAGCAATGAGTTACTTTGAACTCTTCGTGGGGCTTCCTTTCCTGCCTCTAAGCTTCAAGCCTCCAGTCCTCACTCAGGGCTGGGCTTTTCCGAGCACACTGTTTCTCCAGCTAATGTTTCCTGTGGGTCCTGGGCTTCCTGCTTTTCAGCTGCTCTCTCCTCCTGCCCCTGCTGCTGATAAAAGCTCTCCTTGGCTTCACTGGAGCTCCCCTGGGCATCTACTTGGCTGATACAGTGACTCTGGGAGCCTCTGAACCAGCAGCCACTTCTCAAGATTGGCCAACAGAAGAGATCGGGCCCTTGTGAGTACTGAGAAACATCTACCTCTTCTCTGTGAGCTTTCCTTTCAGTATCCTTTGAGAGACTTTCTTTTATGACGTACATAGTAATCATTATTAGGTTAATAAATATTTAACATTCATGGAGTACTCACTAAGTAGGGCCCACTGGGCCAGGAGGTAGGTGCTCTGACTCCACGCATGACGTAGATGCTTAAGGTGAGCAGTAAAGTCAGGCTGTTAACTCGGGAAGTCTGACATCCAAGGCTGTACTCTAACCACTAAGCTACATTCTCAAATGAGTTCTCAGGGCCACACTTGTGTCCTCTTCTTCTCAAATCCAGAAAGTATATAGTGAAGAAATTACATGAAAAAGATCTTAGAGAGCAACTCCTTAGAGTTTCTTCTCCTGCCCCAAGATGCCTTATCAGGGTGCTGGGGAAGGAACAGGAATACAGACTGACACAAACTTGAGTCTGAGTCTAGGCTTCACTGTTTACTAGCATGTGGCCTCATGAATGATACCTGACTTCCCTGAACCTTCCTCCCTATCTATAAAATAGACATACTAAAAATACCCACCTGGAAGAGTTGCAGAAATGATATATGTGAGCCAAGTGCCTAGCTCAGGGTCAGCCACGTGTTAGACGCTCAGTAAATGATAGTTATCATCAGCAACCTGTCCAAGAAGCTAAGTAGTGGCACATCCAGGACTGAAACCCAGGCCTCTGATTCTCAATCCACAATACTTTTCTTAGAAACAAGCAATGCTTTTCAATTATTGTTTTAGATTTTAACGGCAGCTTTGGTTTCAAAGGAGCCCTAAAGGGTCTTAACAAATATATGTGGATTTAAGAAGACATGGAAGAGAAACTCAGTCCAAACATGTCACTTCAACTTGGCTGGCCTGAAATTTTTCCCTTTGTCAACGATGCCTGAAAATTCAAGCTTCCTGTTTGAGAATGCTAATACTCCTGGGAATAGCTATACATTAAGAGGTTGGCATTCTTAGTTGACGTAATTCGTTTTATTTTTTTAATAAATTTATTTATTTTATTTATTTATTATTTTTGGCTGCATTGGGTCTTCGTAGCTGCGTGTGGGCTTTCTCTAGTTGCGGCGAGTGGGGGCTATTCTTTGTTCAGGTGCGTGGGCTTCTCCTTGCGGTGGCTTCTCTTGTTGTGGAGCACGGGCTCTAGGCACGCGGGCTTTAGTAGTTGTGGCACGTGGGTTCAGTAGTTGTGGCACATGGGCTCGGTAGTTGTGGCTCACGGGCTCTAGAGCGCAGGCTCAGTAGTTGTGGTGCACGGGCTTAGCTGCTCTGCAGCATGTGGGATCTTCCCGGACCAGGGCTCGAACGCGTGCCCCCTGCATTGGCAGGCAGATTCTTAACCACTGCACCACCAGGGAAGCCCCGTAATTCATTTTAGCTTCATCCATTCAGCAAATATTTGTGGAGGCCTCTCTATCAACTTTCAAATGAAATCCATGCTCTGAAGAAGAGGGAGGGCATTTTGATGGAGTAAGGTGGGGGGGGGAGAAGAAGTAATCTTGGAGCAAGTACATTCATTTATCATTAAAAAAAAATTGACGGGCACTTACAATGTGCCAAGTAATATTCTTGTCACTGGAGAACAGTGGGCAAGACTGACACATGGACCAACAATACATGTGTAAATAAAGAAATGGGATAATTTCAGAAATAACACACACACGAGTGATCTACTGAAGAGTCAGTAGGGACAGAATTAATTTACATAGGTGGCTCAGAAAAGGTCTCTCTGAGGAGGTAACATCTGAACTGGGACAAGGCAGGATCAGGCATGCAAAGAATAAGCTTAGTATGTGTGAGTGACAGAAAGGAACCCCTGAGTTGTAGCATAGTCATTGGAGGTTGAAGAGGGAGGTAAGAACCGGATGGTAAACAATTTGGAAGCCAGTGGAGTGTTTTGAGCAGAGCAGTGATATGATTTAATTTATGTTTTACAAGTATGACTTTAACATACAGAGAAGGGGTCCTAGGGGGCAAGAGTTAGGAGACCTTTGCAGTCATCCAGGCAAGACATGATGGTGGCCAGGAGAAGGGTGGTAGCAGAGCAGGTGGTAAGAAATGGTCAGATACAGGATACGTATTGCAGGAACCACCTATAAGACAGGCTGAAGGGTCAAATGTAGGCACTAAGGGAAAGAGAAGAATCAAGGATGATTTCTTGGATTTTAGCCTGAGAAACTGGCCAAATAATGGTTCTGTTCATCAAGATGGGAATGAATGGGGGAGCAAGTTCACAGGGGCCACAGAAATCAAAAATTCTTTTGTGGGGACTTCCCTGGTGGCTGAGTGGTTAAGAATCCGCCTGCCAAGGCAGGGGACATGGGTTCGAGCCCTGGTCCAGGAAGATCCCACACGCCGCAGAACAACCAAGCCCGTGCACCGCAACTACTGAGCCTGCACTCTAGAGCCCACGAGCCACAACTACTGAATCCCCGTGCCTAGAGCCCGTGCTCCGCAACAAGTGAAGCCGCTGCAATGAGAAGCCCGCGCACCACAACAAAGAGTAGCCCCCGCTCGACACAACTAGAGAAAAGCCTGTGCGCAGCAGCGGAGACCCAACGCAGCCAAAAATAAATAAATAAATAAATTTATATTAAAAATAAAGAGAATTCTTCTGTGGACATTTTAAGGCCAAATGGGATGAAGGAGGGCACTACAGTGAGGGTGATGGGAGGGAGAAGGAGGCAAGGAGGAGAATAAAGGAAGCAAAAGGGATAAATAAGAAGGACC